ACTGTTATGAATGTGTCATCAGTTGTTATATTTGCTCGTCGCTGATTGCTATGTCGGAGTCGCTTATCACTTATACTTGTAAAATGAAGAATCACTGCAATTCTCACAACGCGAAAGTAAAAACACAAGACTAGTACAAGTGAATATTTATTAACCCTAATATATGACGAACTCTGACTGTAGCTCCTCCTGGGGCTACTGCCGGTCCCAACTTCGAATAAAGGAAGAGGGTTGGTCATGAGGTTATTGCCCCGATCCCGTAGAAAACCAACTCGCTAAAAAACGCTAACCAGAAAAAATTATTAAAACCATTTAAACTCTACCATGGCAGTTGAAGGAAGAATTATGATGCCTCACGATGAAAGCCGAGCTCCTTCGGAAGTCATGAGGCACCTTCTAACAACCAGAGCAACAATTTCTATGGGTACATGGAACGTCCGGAAAATGTGGGAGACGGGGAGAGTCTACCGAATTGCCTATGATTGATTAAACTGCCAAATCGTTCATGGAGGACAACTCACCGAATCATTTGAGGTAAAGACCGGTGTTAGGCAAGGTTGATTACTCTGACACTTTCTCTTTCTCCTGGTGATCGATTAGATCATGATTTAGACCTCGCAGATGATCTGGCTGTTCTATCACACACGCAACAACAAATGCATTTGTTACAGTCAGAGTTCGTCGTATATTAGGGTTAATAAATATTCACTTGTACTAGTCTTGTGTTTTTACTTTCGCGTTGTGAGAATTGCAGTGATTCTTCATTTTACAAGTATAAGTGATAAGCGACTCCGACATAGCAATCAGCGACGAGCAAATATAACAACTGATGACACATTCATAACAGTCGACCACCAGTCATAACACTGATCATTGTATTCGTTGGTTTTATTAAATTTTATCGAAAGAATGAAATGATTCACTATTTTAATGACCTATATTTCCTTAATACCGAAAACCTTGAGTGGATCAAAAATAGTTAATTTGTATTTGTCTGATGATCATAATGTATATGAAGATGTTATGCCTGAAACTAAATCGATTCCGCGGTAACGAACGAAAAGCCAATGACACAATGACACGATAAGCTATTCTAATCGGTTGTCCCAGGCCCCGCTAACTAGATGAAGAAGTCCAAGGCAAGTAGGGGAATATATATATGTATTCCGTAAGCAGCCGAGTACAAGCAATCAAATAAGGGGAAAAGTCAAGCGCATTTATACAGTAACAAATTGTCCTTGAGCATCATTAGTAAATAGCACACATAAAGAAACAATGGACCAATAGCGGTTAAGATAGTTTACAGGTGGGAAATATGACGTGAAGGTAAAAAGAGCGCTTTTGGCGCGAAAACAGCTAAATTCAAATTTTCAAAATAAAACTACAAGATTAAGCCATTTACCAAGTAAGTTCTGGGGATTTGACATCCCCAACAGAAGAATAAACTAATGAATTTAAAATAATCAAATAATAGTATGGTGCTACTTATAAACATAAAGTATGTGAGTTAGTAATGAGGCTAATGATTAAATTTTCGCTATCATTAAATGATGAATAATCTTCAGAGGAGAGTAGACAGTTAGCTGAATTTAGTTTTAGTACTATGATTTTCTAATGAACTTCTATTTTACTAAAGTCAACTAAATTCCACCGACGTTTATGTTGAATTTGGACTATTACATACATATTTTAAAGTTATCATATAATTTGGAAATTCTTCTTAGACATTCTTTTTACTCTTTGAACCTTAAATTTAACCGTCTCATGGACATTCTCCACATATATAGACATATAATTACAAAGAAATCGGCTTGTTGTCCCTCGTGTGATATTTTTACTTTAGAATTGAAATAATATTAAGCAAGGATTATTACTTGTACTAGAATAAATCTTTATGTATATTTATTATGAACCTTATAATATGAAATCACTGTAGTGTTTGTAATAATAAAAATAATTATACATTTGTAGTTAACGAATGAGATAGTATAAATATCAGAAATTGTTATAACTTGTGTGCATAAGTGCCCTGTTAATATATGACGTGATGATTCCCGTTAATTGGAGAACAGTGAATTTATCGATTGGACTAATGACAAACAGTCTAGAATACTTTTCGATCCTGCTTTCTGCCTAGCCCAACCAGTTAAGTCCAAAACATCAATAACAGCTCCTGTGGTATGAATCATTACCTTCAAACATACTGGGTTTATATACCAATCAAACAGACCGCATCCTACCAATAAAATAGAAAATAACATTTGTACAAGATTCAGCTAAATGTGGCTGTGGATATGGGAGGCAGTAATTAATAGACTAGGGATAACTCAAGAATGGTAAATCGTATAACAATAGTTCACAGATCAAAATAAAGCTTATAATAAGGGGGACATGAATATGAATAGTTTAGTTATTAGCAATTATATAATAGGAAATATACATACCATATTAATCCATAAACAGTCCTCAAATTTACCATTCATAATTGTCTTCGGGATATAACAGAAATAATCTACCCAACGCTTGCAAGTTGATGTACTTACTCAATATCCTATGAGTCATTTAAGTTTCAGTTACTCTTCACTACGCGCCATCAGCTTAATGGTATAGTAGTTGCACAGAGTACACAGATTGCTCTTAAAATGATTCTTTTTTCACCTTGCTTATTTTGTCAACTTGTCTTGATTATCAATTATAATAGTGGTGATTTGAAACTTTTTCAAAGGGTGCATAATTTTGCCCAATTGTGTCAATCCATCCATTCATTTAGCATACAGTTTTACTTTTAGTAGGTATACTCAATATGACAACAAAACTGTTTGGGGGATCAGGAAAATTCCTCGGAAAAAACCAATAGCGCCCTGAAAATGACGAAAAACATCTTATCCACACTCAGCATTCAATCGACGTTTTTCAGAAACATGTAAAATATGAAAAGTCACATGCAACATTTCTGTTTGGATTATCTATTACCTATCCTGCTACACTGTTTCGAAGGCTTTCAGGAACTTCCAGAAGCCAAACGTCATCTAAAATGCTACAAATACCCTTGAAATTCTGTACGTAAACTAACTTTGGAATAAAACGTTCGTTCCATATTTCGCGTATTTTCTCTCGCGTTCAAGTGGCTGTGTAGATTTAGTACAGGTGAGCTTAGTAAAACCGAATTAAGCGTTCAATCAGAACATTTATTAAAATTTCTACCTTCACATACAATCAGTGTACGAAACTGTTTCAACTAACTTTTTGTTCCACGCAGATAGCAAATCTCAGCATAATTCATTACGTGTACCAGTTTTTGGTTAAACATACCAATGTCACTGATTGAAAACATCAGTATATAATAAGTTACAAAGGGATAATGGAAGGTTTTATGTCATAAAGTTAGCAAAAGTAGCTAAATGCTTCAAAATGAAAGTCACCACAAATTTGCAAAAACGGAAGATCAAACGATTCAAATACATAGAATGGTATTATTATTAAAATGAAATAAATTGACATATATCGGACAAGGTTACAAATCCCTAATTATACTAAAAATATCACTTACACCAATTGAGATCGATGTGACATCTGTATGTGATCATTATTATTTACCTATCTTAAGTCAAAGAAAACTTTAGTTTTGAAGTGAACTAAAATATCTAACAAGAAAATATATTAGGATAATTTTTTTCAGTTGTTGGGGCGCTGATCGGCAAGGCAAGGGCAGCATATTTACAACTGAAGAACATCTGAAACTCAAAACAACTATCTATCAACCAACACCAAGATCAGAATTTTCAATACAAATGTCAAGACAGTTCTATTGTATAGGGCGGAGACGTGGAGAACTACGAAAGGCATCATCCAGAAGATACAGACAGGTGTTTATTAACAATTGTCTACACAAAATACTTCGGATCTGTTGACCAGACACGATCAGCAACAAGTTACTGTAGAAGAGAAAAAATCAGATTCCATCCAGAAATCAGGAACAAGCGCTTGAAGTGGATAGGACACACATTGAGGAAAGCAGTCAACTGTGTCACAAAGCAAGCCCTCACATGGAATCCTAAAGATCAAAGGTGAAGAAGAAGAAGAAGAAGACCAAAGAACACATTACTCCGAGAAATGTAGACAGATATGAGAAGAATGAACAGAAGTTGGCTAGAACTAGAAAAGAAAGCGCAGCCAGGACGGAGTGGGTTGGAGAATGCTGGTCGGTGATCTATGCATCATTGGAAGTGATAGGCGTAAGTAAGTAATTAAATAATTTTTTTCAGTAAATGTTTTCTATGAAAGACAAAAATAAATAAAACTATAAATTTTTCATTTCAATTATTTTATGTGTGAATACTCTTCAACGAACTATTCAACAATTAAACATTAAAGTTATCCAAATAAAATTTCAACCATTTTCCATAAACAGAAATGATCATTAAAATTATTACGATCTATAATTATAAAATAAAACTGGTGATCTTTGAAAATAAGTTGTCTAGGTCAATATGGTGTTTATTTAAAAAACAAAAAAAATATTTAATAATTAATTAATGAGTTAATTAATGAGTTTTACTAATATGCAATGCCAATTATTCACCACAAAACAAAAACAAAAAAAAACAAAACAGTACTGATCTCATTGGAAATTCTTTAATCATATCCAATCGTATCATTGAACTAGTTATAAACACTTTTAAAAATATAAAAAATAAATTTATATCATTACAATACTACTTAAATAATAATAAATGAATTCTATCAATAGAATTGCTTTGTATAACAAAAAGAAAAACAATGTGGATCAATGTTATAAACTGAGTTTTGGTTTTTTTTTTGGTTTTTTGGTTGTTTTTTTTTAGTAATGAAGATTATTGCACAACAAAAGAAAATAACATTTTCAACTAAGTTATTTTAATAGATAATTAATTTAGTCCAATCATATTCTTAATTTTATCAGTAGTATATAATATATAAAGAGTCAATAATTTTTTTCACTGTCTTTACAATCCGGTATCGTGTTATTTATAAGTAATAAAAAGAAAAAAAAGATTTTGGTGTTTAACCATTTATTGTTTCAACACAGTAGATTAAAGAAAATCTTTGTTACCAAGTGAGTTGAATTTTTTTTTTCTTTTTTAATAATAAACGTATATTTATTACTAAAATCAATATAGTTTATATTATGTATTGAATGTGTTTCTATAAAGAACTTAGTAAATGACTTCTATTGTTGGCAAGGGGTTGTTTTTTTGGAATATTAAATGAAAAATTATGTTAAATTATGCTTTCTTTAAATTGTAGTTTATTAAATCGATCGGGAATTTTATTCATGTTAACTGAAAAAATTACTTATTGTTTTTCAAGTTAATAACTTCAGTACTATCTATCTACCTACCTATACATATATATATATATACCTATGTACCTATCTCTCTATCTATCTATCTATCTACCTATCTATCTATCTACTATTTATCTATCAAGTCTTATGACAGTTAAACAAATAGCTACATTGATAAAAGGAAGAAAGAATTTCTGATGACAGATGTTAATTGGTTAAGTTTCAAATAACTGTAAACAAAACATTCAGTCAATCTTCTTTGTTTGTTTGTTTGTTTGTTTTTCATAAAAAAAAGATTGAGTTTATTTTGATTTGACTTATCCACAGAGTATAAAGATATCAAATACTTATCAATGGCTTCTTTCATAAACTAATGTTCTTACATTAAAGATTAAGATCCAAATGTTATGTTATCATTTGATCAATTTCAAAGTGAAAACGAATTAACCAATTCAGTATTTTAAGGGAATACAATAATATGAAAGTACAATGTGATGATGTGTGTATCTCCTAAATTATTATTAGACATGAATAAGTAACAATAAATCCTTTAACTTGAATTCATCATATAATTTCATTTCCTAATTAGATCATTATATAATATAGCCTTATGGGCTAGGGTAATTTCGCACTGGTTTTCAGGAGAACCAGACATCATCCAGACTTTCACGCAGTAACCCAAACAGTACAGCTCAATCCCATAGGAAAATCAGACACTATATAGGCTTCAACGCCGCAATTCGAACAGTACAGCTCAATCCTGTGACGCAACCACACATATATTAAGCACCCTGTTGAACCATTCGCACCATTCATATACACATTATTCCGATCAGTGATCGAGTAGTTAGATCATACATACCAAAACTCTTAATATAAAATAAACATGGTTGAAAGTTTTGTAAAAACTAGATGATAGTAGAATACCAGTTTGATAGATTATTTACTAACTTATGCAATTACTAATTGTTTGTCTCGTATAAAATATTGTAAGACCTCTATCTTTTTATACAATGCATACAATGATGCTGTATCATTCGCATTCATTTTTGGTTGTTTTTGTATTAATTTCAATTCATAGCTTAGTTCAAATTTTGTTTGATTTCGTCAAATTCAGTAAAGCATTATCATTATGATAGACATATTTTACTGACATTCTTACAGGAATCAATTGGACATACTTCATTAAAGTTAGGAAATCATCAAAAGAATGTTCCATCTTTTGTTCATTTAATATTTGAACAATAGAATATGAAACCTACATTGAGATTACTTATATACAGTTTTTTACTTGATCAATGGAGTAATCTAAAGTGCTCATTGTATTTTTGTCATATTTTTTTAAAGTTAGTTCACTAAGAAAGTAACTGATTACTTTGGCTAACATAAACTAATTTTCAGCTGTCATCTAACTATTTTGAATTAATCTCCTTTCGTACTTGTGAACTGGAACCAGAACGAGTAGTCAGTTGCTTATATAATGTTTGAATTATACCAATCTTATTAGGGACTAATGAAAATTGATGCTCTTTCGGCTTATCATCTTAAAAGATTGTATGTATTTATAGCTATCTCAAAAACTCACTAGGTTTTAATTAAAGTACATATTACTATATACGTATTATTTTGATAATTGAATTATCATAGCATCAAAACTAACTGACAGTTAGGTGCTCCTAATCACGGATAATAAAATCTTTAATCATTTAGCTTAACTTTATGGGCTTCACTCGTCCTAACACAATAGTTGACTTTTTTTTCAAGTTATAATTCATAGTATTAGATTCAAATAAGAACAAGAGCCGTTGTATGGATAATAGTAATAACAATAATAATAATAATAATAATAATAATAATAATAAAGTAATGATACATTTGTACTAATAATGGTAACAACAGTAAAATAAGATAAAGAATCAAATTCGATTTTAAGTGGAATATAGGGTTTACGCTAATAGGGGCGTGAGTGAAAGGACGACTATCAAAATGAAAAGTGGGGAAGGGGCACTCAGAGCTCACATTAATAAAGGCGGCTATCGAAATGGTGCATATTAATAAAGGTAAAACTTGAAACGGGGAATAACCTTTTTAATGTTGTGGAATATGTTTGATTTACCCTCTATTTTGGAAGACCTTTCTAGAGAAACAGTGTGGTGGATGGCTGGAATACGTTCACCACTTATTCATCTAATTAATATTAAATAAAACCTAGTCATTTGACTTTTCTCACCATGTGCGTCAATAATTGACAGAATGTAACTTTCGCTGGAGAGCACAAAAGACATAGCTTTCGGGAATACATGTAATGAAGTATACCGAGTATATATTTCTAAGAAAAAGATGTCTTTATCATTTAAAACTTATCCAAGATTTTTTGAAACATCCCTCTGAATGGACTATCCCCCAGTTATTTGAAACAAACGAACAAGATAACATGACTACGGTAATAAGAATAACAACTGATTATCAAAACCAAAGAATTACAGTGTTTGTTAAAAGTAAACTCTTCACTAGACGTTTATAAAACAATATTTTGTTGGTTGTAGGGCAGTGGGAGAGATGGGGAATCGGACATGTTTCACACCATTAAGAATGTTATTCCCCCTTTCGATGCTCACAATTATTAATATACGCCTTTTTGAGTGTGCACCCTTTCGAACCCCCCTACCTTTTGAGGGGATATCGGACTATAGTTGTGTATAAGAGTTCAGTATCAGTGATTATAATTAGTAAAAAGGCGACCAGAAAATTTGTAACGGCTCATTTAACTGCCATATATTTATTCGATATGATGCTAATCTGTGAAATATTTAAACATACTTTCTAAACTCATCTTAATCAAAGAAATGAATATATCATGGTAAATTTTCGCTCAATTGTCAGAGAGAGATGCAGTACATGTCATAAAGTTACCAAGTTAATCAGATTTACAGCTAGTTATTAATCAGAAAATCAAATTCTGTTAAAATGACTAACCTTATGGATTTAGCCGATTTATTGATCAGCTAAGTAGTGAAACCAATAACCAGATATTGAAGTAGTAGGATAAAACGGCCGTCCAGTACTTTCAGGTTTTCGATGGTGGTCTAGCTTCAATTGACTCATGATCTCAACTCTATGAAATTACTAAAATCTCCACCACACCTCTTCTGATAATGATAATGTGCTCACTAGTGACTGGCTCCATGAGGTATTTCCTGGAGTTCTAGTGAGAAGCAGTAACCAGTGGAGTTCAACCACGTCTGTTGGGAGTTATCAACTCACTGAAGACATTGGCGAATGGTTGTTCAATTTTGTGGATCGGTTGAATTTAGACATAAACACCATCGGATACCGGCTCAGTGGGATAGAGGTTAAGTGCTCGGGCGCGAGACTGGTAATTCCTGGGTTCGAATCTCGCGAGTACAGGATCGTGGATGCGCACTGATAAGGAGTCCCATAATAGGACGAAACGGCCGTCAAGCAGTGCTTCCAGGTTTTCCATGGTGGTCTAGCTTCAAATGACTCATGATTTCAACTATATAAAAATGAACTGTATTGAATAATATGAATAAGCCATGAATAACTAATCCTATGGTGTGGGTTACTTATATCCACATAAGTAGTATATGGTGATGATCAGGCATAGAATGTATTTCACTAGAAGATTGATAAGGAAAGAACCGAAACGGAATGCAATTGGTATAAAAATTCATGAACAATGAAATCAGAAAAGATGGACTGATATTTACAGAAGGAACAGTCAAAGTTGAGATAATTGATTGTTATTTTGTAAATTAACTGTTCACTGTATGGTTATCAGAATTTAGTGAGATAATCTGTAATTGTCCCTACCCGTGTTCTTGTTCACTACAGTCCTATTCATAATCGATATCATAATAGCGATCTCATAATTCTAAGGGAGCAATATATGACAAATAAAATGGATGGTATAATACTAAAATAGTAGTCTATTTATCATTTTGTTAAATATAAAATAAATATTTAATGATAATAACAATTATTATTATTATTAGCTTTATTCAATATTATATTTTTGGTACAATATAGAATTCTCAGCACCAAGTACTTCAACAAGTTTCCGTTTTTTACTTCTTCGTCCTTCGTGACGATAAATATTGAGCAATCGCCAGTTAGAAGTTAGCAGCCCAGTCAATTGACATCTGAATAATGTACATTCTCCTCGCTGCATATTGTCAGCAACCACGATATCTCTGATTAGACCTTCTGTAACCTTTACAGCGAAAGGTTTTACACTTTTCAGAAACGCACCTGGATAGATTGTGCAATTAATAGCCATAATGACGTATTGAAACAAACAAAATTAGATAACTTGTTGAAATATCTAGATGACAGGAACAGGTAGCCCAGATGTTTAAACAGGCCGCCAATTAAATTGGGTTGCTATGACATCTGACATTACATTAAATTTTGATGCATTTAACTAAACATGTATTTGTTTAAATAAATTAAATCATTTCTCTTCTTTTTTTCATTTATTCTTTGTTATCTTCAAAATAGGTGATTAAACGATACCCATATTTATTGAAAAAGAAAACAGCTTTATAAGAAACTAACAATGAAGTTTTATCTTACAGTCTTATTCTATTACATACTTGAACATCAAATGAATGGTATATTGTTCGTTAGCACTGAATCAAAAAGCACACAATTAACTTCAAGTAACTATTTGTTCTAAATTCAAAATGATGATTATGTGATATTACTTATGAATGGGACTTAGTAATCGATATAATATGATTGTAAATTTTAAGATGATATTATTTTCTCGTATGGAGTTGTGGAGATTGCTGAATATCAGAGAAATCATGAACTGACCTAAGTTAGACCATTACTGAAAAGCTGGAAGCACTGAATGGCCTATTCATTCCGATATGGAACTTCTCAAAGGTGCGTATCCTATGATGCCGCACTCGGGGTTCGAACCCAGGACCTTCAGCTCAGTGTTCTAGATGTTAGTTGTTGGCGCGCGAGACCGAAGACCTTGAACTTTTTTAATGCTCCGGTTCGTCACTCATCATTAATTTCACAATCATGTGTGACATTATAGTATTATTATACATATTATTATGCATTATATATACGCATAGGCAGCATATACCACCGTATATATATCGGTTTAAAAAAAGATATTCAATCATAACTAACATTAGTATACAGACAACTCCAACCATTTACATAATAAACCTCGTGTTTAAATCATATTCTCAGGTTTTACAGGGAAATATACTGAGTTGTCGATTATTACGATACATAATTCTAATTAATTTGTATCTGACTCCAACTTATTATCTGGTTCCATTTGGAAGTCAAACTTATGAATACATCTTACAATTAACAATATTCGTGTATCGCTATGTTTTTGGTCCATCATTATAGTTTTTACAGATATATTCAGCCGATATACTATCATTTTTTCCAGTAGCCCGTTTGACATAAATAGAGCGTTTAAATGAGAGTTTGGTAATCATGCTTATACTTGTCATTGAATTTAGGGATCAAATTTCACAATTATGACTGAAATCAATTTAATGACTTCAGTGTTGTGGTCAGTGTGTTAAATGATTCAATAATGAACTTAAATATAATGGAAAGAGCTACTTAGAAACACAAGAGTAGTTTGGATAGATATTTTTCCAACCCCTACTAATCATTGTAAGGAATTGTTGTATTTATAATCCTACCAATATTCATGCTTTTTCACGAATGTTAGCTTGGGATAAGTAGTTCCTCAGTTATTTTTTATTTGTAAAGGACAAACAAAAACTTATCGGTCATGTATTTACTTTACATATACGCTTATATCTACAGAATCTTCAGCAGTTTCACCAAAAACAAGCTCACAAATGTTTTATCACGACGAAGCCTTCAGAAAAAAATCATGTGTCATTTTCGAAGGACCACAAACTTGTGACAAAATCGTGGGAAAAAAAGCTCCGCGTAAGTTATATTATTTTGCAAAATATAGTCGACATTTCTTTGAAACTTCGAAATATCTAATAATATTTTGTTTATGATTACATAAATTATAATCCCAGAGTTTAATCCAACTTATCGATGAAGCACAATTAGGTCACAAATTCACATCAATAATTAGCAGAGATGGATGGTGGCTAACAGTGGAATCCAAGACGCGCGTTTCGTCCTATTTTGGACTCGTCAGCTGGATGTACCTGCATCTCAGAGTTGATACTCACTCCGGAACCCAGTACCGTTCGCTTTAAACGCCATCACATCATCCACTTAACCACTGAGTCACGACAGCCACTAGTTTTTTCTCAATGAGGTGAAGTTTCAATTCATTTTGTATTGTTTGTTTGAATCTTTACTTATAATGCTTGTGACTTAAGGCAATATCGAGGCAAATTAAACAATATCACGACTAAAAGAGCCGAACATTACATCTAGGTGTTGTTTTCTTAACAGTATCACTTCGAGGACAGTAGACCTATGTAAGGAACCAAAGTATGAGGATCTACTTGACATCAATAATTTCAGTACGTTACTATTGGTTGAAATTGAAAATATAGGCAACTAGTTTTTGAACCAACCATTTAAACGTGAAGTGCTCATTCCATAACCTGAAGATTCTAGATTTAGCTGCATGAATAGGCAACAATAGTATGTCACAAACTAAATCGAAGTTGTTCAGTGCATTTTTGTTTTGATTGGTGTTTTAAATCTGAATTAAATCCAAATCTAAAACTATCTTTTAATCGGACTAGTCTCTGTATTATCACCTAACCAAAGGTTAAAGTATTGAGAATAAATATTTTAATATCAAATAGTTTTGTGGATATTATAGTAAATTTAATAGTTGAGATCATGAATCGATTGAAGCTAAACAACCATGGAAAACCTGCATGCACTGGACGGCCAACTCGTCCTATTGTGGGACTCCTCAGTAGTGCGCACCCACGATCCCGCCTCGCCAGATTTGAACCCAGGACCTATCAGTTTCGCGAGCGAGCGCTTAACCTGTAGACCACTGAGCCGGCATCCAACGGTGTCAATTTGGTATTTATTGACACAATTCAGTTAAGTAGGAATAGTTTCTATAGTTTTACTCAAAAAACAAATGTTATGTAATTAGTCACTCGTTAAATGATAGAGAGAGTATGAGAGATAATCACACTTTTTAATGAATTGTTTCTTTTTTCTAAAAAAAGGGAACTGTATTATGGTTAATAAAGCATCTCATTTTCTCAAATTTTCTAGTATACACTCACTTCATGATACTAATAGAAATGTCAGACAATGAAATGAATCCGTTATCGGTGGAAAAATTTAATGCAGTTCCAGAAAATCAAAGATATGAACATTTTGCAAAGAGAAGTTGTAAATTTGTAAGTTACAGGAATAGAAGAAAAAAATTGATAATTCTTTTTTAATATAATTTGTTAATTATTAATCTTATTTACTTACTTACGCATGTTACCCCAATTGGAGCATAGGTCACCGATCACCATTCTCTAATCTACTCTATCTTGGCTGCACCTTCCTTTCTAGTTCTATCCAACTTTTGTTCATTCTTCTCATGTCTGTCTCCATTTCTCGGAGTAATGTGTTCTTTGGTCTTCCTCTTCTCCTTTGACCTTCAGGATTCCATTTGAGGGCTTGTCTTGTGACGCATGTGAGTGCTTTCTTCAATGTTTGTCTTATCCTTTTCCCGCACTTCTTCCTGATTTCTTCCTCCACTGGATGGAATCTGGTTTGTTCTCTCCAACAGTAGAATGTTGATGACAGTGTGCGGTCAACGGATCCGAAGTATTTTGCGTAAACAACTGTTAATAAACACCTGTATCTTCTGGATGATGGCTTTCATAGTTCTCCATGTCTCTGCCCTATACAGTAGAACTGTCTTGACATTTGTATTGAAAATTCTGATCTTGGTGTTGGTTGATAGATAGTTGTTTTGAGTTTCAGATGTTCTTCAGTTGTAAATATGCTGCTCCCGCTTTACCGATCCGCGCCTTCACATCTGCATCAGATCCACTATGTTCATCAATGATGTTGACCAGATATGTAAAGGTTTCCACATTCTCCAAAGCTTCTCTGTCAAGTGTAATTTGATTGGTGCATGTTGTATTGTACCGGAGAGTCTTGCTTTTCCCTTTGTTTATATTGAGACCTACTGCTGCTGAGGCTGCTGCTACACTGGTCGTTTTCTCTTGCATTTGTTGTTGCGTATGTGACAGAAGAGCCAGATCATCTGCGAAGTCTAAATCGTCCAGCTGCATCCGCCTGTAGCTCCTCCGGGGGCTACTACCGGTCCCAAGCCCGGATAAATGAGGAGGGTTGGGCATAGGGTTAGCGACCCCATCCCGTAGAAAACCAACTCGCTAAAGAACGCTAACCGGAAAAATTAATAATCTTAACAAGTCTAAATTTATACCAATACTTGTTGTAAATCTGCAAGAAAATTTTGACATTATTTTTTACTGGTCATCTGAAAAATTAGCTTGACTTTGATGTTGGATATTATAATCACTTATCCATATTATAAACCAATATCATTGAACCATCAGTTACAGTTAAGTACATTATCCTACAATTGGATATTATTTCAACAGATAACTATTGATTATTGAGTGAGAAATTGTTAAGTATTCTAATGATCAACGTAGGTACCTACCGAATTTATAACGATGATATTTTATCACCTTAAACCTATCTATACAAAAATCAAATCCTAAAAAAATAGTTAAATGATTAGTAGTGCACAGTTTATACAAGAATCATTTTAAACCAGAAAAATCACTGTCGAAAACTCTCTACTCCCGTAGTTGAAATATGATTTATCTATGTGGAAACATTTTGGATGAAGTTAGCTCTACGGCTTTTTCAATTTTTATTCGTTGTCCACATGGGATTCTCTAACATAGATAAATTATGGTATTTTCTTAATAAATCCATATATGTAAGCAAAGATGGATAGTGGTTAGGAGTGGAATCCAGGACGCGCGTTTCGTTCTATTTAGGAGTGAACATCAACTCTGAGATGCAGGTACATCCAGCTGACGAGTCCCACTGCTAGCCACTACCCATCTTTGCTTACAATGCTTGTGAATTAAGGCTATATCGAGACAATATGCACAGTATGCACATGTGCCAATTAGAGACTGATCAATCGCAGTCCTAACACATCGATGGGGTGATTCAAACAAACAATACTAAATGAATTTAGATCCATATATGTTTACTTTCATATATTGTCTCAGCGAATAAACAATTGTACAGATATCGTATAACTATATTTCTCACCAATAAAGCATTATCGTTTCCACACTTAAGTCATTAGTTGCAAATTAAATTCCTTTTTATTAATGAACAACAAAACACTTTAATTTTGCTTTCATTGCCGCATATACAGTGAAAAAAATTTCATACTGATTGATTACGGAACAGCAATTAATATTGTATTGCCTAATCCTTGATGTTGATTAAACTCTGTTGGTTGTTACTTTGCAACATGGTTTATATTCCAAGTGACTAGATATCATGTTTCATTGTCCGACTTCGAATGACTACAAGCAATTTACAAGAAGCACTATTAATTATTTCTTCCTGTATAATTCAAAAACACATCCTCGAGTTGTTTCACAATGAGAGAAGTTAGCAATGAATTATATAAACCTTAGTCCGCAACCAGAAAACTTGATAAAATGATAGACAAACAATTAGTAACAAAAATATTACTAAAAAGAGGTAATTCCTACAGTAGTATCTATTAAAATATGGTTATAATTATAACTGTAGACATGGCCAGCGAATATATAGCCTCTGTCAGGGAAGTCTTACTCACTGCCTTCTCGTGGCAGGGGTGTTGTTTACGAAATTGAGAGGACGAAAAGCGAATGTCCGGCGCTTTAAACCGGGTTGGTAGACACGGCGAGTCCACCTAGGGGAGTTGGAAAACCCTGATTCCAAACCAATGGTGCACATGGGCTCCATTATCCTAAGGGAACAAATGGCATACGAATCAATCGTTGGTCACCGACTACCATGGGACTGCATCTCGTCACAACGCTCCACTGCTTTATGGATCAGACCTTTAGGCCAAAGGCTCCGGGTGTGGCCCCCTAAGAAAACCACCTGCTTCAGTCTGGGCACCTTGGCAGTATCACAGCCCTCACACAAATCAAATGAGATTTGTGAGGCGCATATTTATCTGGTGCTTTTTTGTACCAATATTTGTGTTAAAACAATAATAATAATAATAATAATAATAATAATAATAATAATAATAATAATAATAATAATGATAATAACTGTAGACAATAACAAAACTTCTGCATAAGATCACACAATAAAAGCTTAATTTCTTTGAAATGATTTATATACATATATATAATTACATTTTCTTTGTTCATTCACTTTTAATAAATTAGATTATGGAACAAGTTACAACCGAAAAAATGCCACAATATGAAAGACCGCATTGCAGTGTTGTTAAATATATTCCATCAGATCAAGAAACTATGTTTGCTGTAACCGATATAGTTTATGATTCAATTAAAGCAACACAACTATCTGATGAAACTTTACTTGGAACATTGAAACAAAACAACAAATTTCATGTTAATGGACAAAATTTCAGTAAAGCTCATGTCAAAATCCTTTGTAAGTTATTATTTGACTAAATGTTCATTAGTTCAGCAAAATATTAATTTTATCTATTTTGATTGATCTATTTTATAGTTGAGATCATGAGTCAATTGAAGCTAGACCACTAAGGAAATCCTGGACAGTCGTTTCATTCTATTGCGGGACTCCTCGGCAGTGCATATCCACGATCTCGCGCACCAATGAGGAGTCCCACAATAGAACGAAACGGCCGTCCAGTGCTCCCAGGATTTCCTTGGTGGTCTAGCTTCAATTGACTCATGATCTCAACTATGAAAATACTGATATCTCCACAAAAACTCCTTCTGATAATGATTTATTTTAGTTGCATTTTTGAGCAAATTTCCGATTGTTAAAGTGAAAGAAAAGAATACTAGTCAATAGATGATATAATGAGATACACTGTGGCCAAACAATTGCTGGTCACAAGACTGAATTATTAATTTAGACTTTCAAATGAATTCATAACAAAAGATAAAATCGCTCCCCCAGTAGAAAAAGTTTTCTTTCAATAAAATAACATACAAAAAATTAGCGGAAAAATAAACGTTCTAGGTTATTATAAGGAATCTTTTTTTTTTGGAGGGGGGGGGGCTACTCACTCTCTCCAGTCAATTAACACAAACTAATAGTTTGTCGAAGTTTGTACACTTTGAAAATAATTCTTACTATTGACTGTGATCAATTGAAGAATCGATGCAAAATCAGAGAACATACTAATTAACTAATCAAATAAACCATGACAAAATGTAACACATTAATCGTTGAATAGTACTTCAAACAACTTATTAATAAAAAATTGTATGCTAATGATAAACTGAAAATAACTTGGAAGCATGAATCAATTGAAGCTAGGCCACCAAGGAGAACCTGGAAGCACTGCTTGATGGCCGTTTCGTCCTATTGTGGAACTCCTCAGCAGTGCGAATCCACGATCCCGCCTCAGGAGATTCCAACCCAGGACCTATCAGTCTCGCGCCAGAGCACTTAACCGATAGACCACTGAGCCGGCATCCGATGGTGTTAATGTCTAACTTCAACCAATCCACGAAGTTGAGCAACCGTTCACCAATTGTCTTCAGTGAGTTCCTATCTCACAACAGACGTGGTTTGAACTCCACTAGTCACTGCTTCTCACTAGAACTCCAGGAATTATCTCATGAAGTCAGTCACTAGTGAGCATATGGTTATAATCAGAAGGGGTTTTGTGAAGATTTCAGTATTTTCATAGTTGAAAGTATGAATCAACTATGAAAATACTGAAATCTTCACAAAACCCCTTCTGAAAAGAACTTCGCTATTTAATGAAACATTTTTTTATGTAAATAAATGTAATGACACTTTTTATGTAGAGATAAAGCTAGTTGATTTTCAATATTTTCACATAATCTTCACATAAATGAGTTATCTGCCTCTGTATGAACCCACATAAACTTACCATTACTGTAGCATGAATACGCTATGTAAGATTAACTAGAAATAACTGTATAATTTGAATTCCCTTCAGTATATGTATATAGTTGCTATATCGTTTATTGTCCATAAATTGTAGTCCATCAATCAGAAATCTACTATTTAGCTTTATATCAAGAACGTTCGAATTATATATTTGATACAGTAATACATTTTGCTCTCGTATTTCATTTAGATATTCAAATCAAAAATAAAATAATTCATGCAACCATGTAATTGGCTTTCAAGTGTTTTAATTGGTTGTTTTGGGAATATGAAAACTTATGAGGAATATAGTAACAGTAGAGTTGTTGTTAGTGGAATTGATAGGAATACAAAACAATACATTATAATTATTTTACTCAGTTTATATTTTCTGCAGAATAATAAGATTATTCAGGTCACTATACTAAACTTTGGAATCATTAACAAACATAATGTATTTCTTTTTTGGTTGTTCCTAAATAAAGCATACGCATCTGACTAATTTTTTACCATTCGAATTCCAGCTAATACAGTGAAACGAACATGTGAGGATTGTCAATCAGTTTGCCCACGGCATTCATATTGTTCAAATACGATGAATGGAATCAGTTGTACATGCAAATTTGGATGGAAAAAAGTAGGAGGATATAGTCGTTCAGAGTATTGTACACGTAAGTTATTAACGAGCTTTTTATAAAAACGTAAGGATATCTGAGCAGCTGTAATATCATATGAAAGAGTAATCTTTGAATATGCTAAATTGTATGCCCACTAGTAAATCGTTTTTAAATGTTGACCAAATGAATCTTTTGGAAACTGGAAATGTTAATTACTAAGCTCCACTAAATGTTAATATACAAATGGAACTTACTAGTTGATGATAATGCAGTAATATTACATTGGATAAACTGGACAAACTAGATTACTATGCTTAATAAAACACCATATTACTACGTCACTAGGTTAGGCCACGTGATACACTATTCTGGCCAATGATTGAGGGTCAAATTATACGTCAGGCAAGCTTTATTAACTCAAATGCAAGTAGCCAACATAAAGCACAACTCATAGTAGAAATCAAAGTTAAAATAGACAGATAGATATATTACTAAGTATAGAGTGGGCATGTGACTTCGCTAGTTAATCAACACAACTTACTTTCACCTAACATGTCAGAACAAACAAAAAAACAGGAGGCATAAGACTGGAGTTTTATCTCATTATGATTCATATCGTCTCCATTCATTGAACTACCAGGGATTGAACCCAAGTGGTTGAGTAAAACTAAACAAAGAAATCATAGGTTTTTTCCATTTTCTATTTCATTAAGCGATTATAATAAGAACTTGCATCTGAGATATCATAAGTCTTCATACATTTATGAGGTTTAAAATATAACATATTTGATACTAATCATTCTATTATTATTATTATTATAAAATACCCTTTGTTGTCTTCTTTTATCATGCTCTATGCTTTTAACTCCAATATAGTGCATCCAATTTCAATAATTCTGATAGTTATTGGCTCAACACTAATGGTAGTACTAACTATCTTAGCTATGTATTTCTCAAAAAGAGTCACCATAACAAAATACCTAAGACGAGTTCAAGGAAAAGAATAAGATGCTGGGAGAAAACTCTGCTACTCAATTCTGTTTATAATTCTTCATAACAGTACACAATTTTTATATTAAAGTAGATAGATAAATATGTTATTGAATCATGTTTCATTCCATTTACATTTTAACTGTTACTTCCAAAACAATCAAATCTTGTTGTCAATATCTGAATTAAATACTATTTTTGTTAAAAAAAATAAAGCTAAACAATAAGGATATTTAATGAATTATTGTTACCATTATTATTTATATGGTAGTAACATTAATACATTTCTGCATTATGGATTGGCTTTAATTTGAAAAGAAAGCAACAGGAAATCGGTCAGTCAGCTACAACGTAGGACCAGGCACATATGTGCATCGGTTCAAGTTGCCATACCTCATTAGCACAACAAGATGAACACCGGATTCATGGAAGTAGTTAATTTAGTGGTGGAAACCGGAGCTACTTACATATAGTTATCCAAAAATTTCTGTAAATTGTAAGGAATCGAAATGTTTTTGTTCAGTGTACACATCACCCCTTTCAGAATAAATATATTAATCTCAACCTATTAGTATCATCAGTAACCAATATTAATTCCAATTTGACTAGCCACATAAATTAAGACTATACAAGTAGCGCTAATGGACATTAACTTTCAGACAATCTACCAGTTCCCTCTAATTATCAGCTCGTTCAACGTGTTAAAACAATGTTTCTTCTCAACTTATCAAATTATTTAGCTGTACAGTTCATCCAGTTTCACAATTAAACATTATTCAAAAGTTTCGGAACTGAAACTGAAACTCAATGCAAAATTGATACTTCATTAGATGATGACATAATACATGACTGACTTTTCCGTTATACATTGATATAAATGAAATAATTAGTCCTATCCCGTTTTTAGCACAGATTACTTCTCTATCAGATGTGTAAAAGCATTTTCTGAAGATGAAACAAACTATTACTTACTTGTAATTGATGAACTTTAGGTAGACACTTATACGGAAACAACAAGCAAACGGGTTTAGTTATTGATTTCCAATACAAGAATTGTATTCATTAATTCTTTTAATTTACATCCAAACGATTTATACTATTACTTTTTAAGAAAACTTTTCTTGGTTAGAACAAGTAGTGATACTGTGTTCAGGGGATTACACACAATACATTAATATCATTACTCATAAATTACCAAGGTCTGAGAAAGCATTGGTGAGTAATAATTACTACAGAAATAAAATCGACCTAAACGAATGACTAATAGATTGTTTTCTGGAGGAGAAATATGTGTACCCAGTGATTAGAAACACATACACGTACATCGGAAAATTATCACGAAGACATATGAAAGTGAACTCTGTACACTGGCTGAACTGGACAGTGTGGTGGTCGGTATTAGATATTATCCTTAAACTTTGTATATTGTACGTCCTGATAACCGTTACTCGATAACACCTCAACGGGGTATAAATCAGAAGGAGAATAAGAAGTGTTGGTTGCGTTTATAATTGAACCACGCACAGATATCCAAAATTACAGCCACGTCAAACAAGCATGAAAGAGTAGTGCCGAAAAGTAAGCGAGTGAGTGTGCTAGTGATCGGGTCAATGAACGAGTGTGCGAGTCAGCGAACAGGATTAAAATGTAGATATATATACATATGGAAATGAGTGAATCATCGAATCAATTAAGTGATTCATAGTAAGGCTAGCAGAATGAATATATGCATAGGCAGTAAGCAATGCTCAAGCATACATATTCATACAAGTGCAACAATAATAAAGGTACAATAGTATGGATAGGTTGCTATCATACGAATGACTCTGTTCGTCAAATAAGTTAACAAAAGGGCTTAACCAAATTAGATATAAACAAACTCCATTGTACGTGAGCTGCTATAACAGAAAAGAAATAAAGTATATTTACTCTCTTAGCTTTTGAAACTAATGTAACTGAGATCAGAGTTGAGCAAAAGTTATGATCTATACACGATCCTATTTTTGTAGCAAACAAAATCTACAGATTTCTTTATGACGGAAAGTTTGATAATTAGATGTAATTGTTACAAATCGTAACTTTTACAACATTTTTCTGTAATATATTTCGAATAAACAGATGAAGAACTTACTTGTCAAGGGAAAGTAAAGAATTCAATAAAGTATGGTGACTAAATCAATAAATTCTTTTCTTTTTAGCTCAGAGTTCATTTGATTTATTCTGGATCTATTACTTTTTAAGTTGTAAGTTTTAACTTTTTTATTTTAAGACGTGTATACAGCAGAACTGAATATGAATCATGAAAATTATACACAAATAAAATAATCAAACAATTTACAGATCAAAAATGGACTTTCATTTATGAATCAAAATGTTTAAATATGACTGAATATAGAATATGAAGGAATATAACAGTAAAAGGCGAAAGATTTATCCGCAAATGAAGAAACACCAGAGTGCCTCTCCCGGAGCACGGATTTAGCCCCCAAATGCCCTGGTACGTTCGAGAGTGGGGAGAGTCAGCTCTCCCTCTTCAAATGCTTTCACATGGCCACGCGTATACAGCCTCTGTCACGGAAGTCCTACTCACTGCCTTCTCGTGGCATTGCTGTTGTTTACGAAATTGAGAGGACGAAAAGCGAATGCCCGCGAATGTCATTTATTCAATGATGTTGAAAAAAACTTGAAATTTAAGCTTTCGAACTAAGACAAAGAAAAAGAAAAACTTTGAATGTTAATTGAAGATTTTATTTACAAATTGAATTCTTAAATTATTTACAGTAACTATCAAATGTTTGGCTTTATTCAGCTTATCAGATGATAATAGTAATATAATGATAATATGTTAATAATCTGCAGAAGACAAAAAATCTTTACGACCCAGATTAATAGCAGCTTTATTTTGCATTGCTTCTAATTTTGGACAATGTGTTATACGATGACCTAAACCACCACAATATGCACAGCCAACTTCACCACCCATTTCAAGTTCAACTTCAGTAGCTGATGCCAATTCAACAAGGAATTCTGGTACAGGTTGATTAGCCTCTATGAGTAAATGTTTTAGATCTAATAAAGTGGATTCATCCACTGATTTATTGATAAATGTTGTGGCTAAACCACGTTGATGACCACGACCAGTACGACCGATGCGATGTACTAAAATGAACAAGACAAAAAATTAATCGATTAATTATACTTTTAAGACTGACCACTAGTTTTTAAGTACTACGTACAATTGATAAGCATGGATGGTTACGTCACACGTTCTTAGGATTATTTCGTACTGAAAAAACATTATAAATCCTTGAAATTGTCAAGTCAGAAAATTGAACCCAGTGAGATATGTGTTTTCACTAACCAACCTGCTTTTATAATCATGAGCAAATATATCATGAATAAAAACATATCGAAGAAGCATATACCTTTCACTGATCTATTCGGTGAATTGTTGGTGACTAGAGAATAAAAACTGATATACTAGTAGATATATAATTTATTTAGTTGTAAAACGAGTTATGGTACCCTCTTAATAAGCATCATAACAACTGTTAATTAGTAATGAGCCATATAAAATGTGAAGGACTAGATAGTCATAAATCTGGATTTTAATAAGAAATTTAATCCAAGCCTGTTTCTGAGTTCGGGTTCATGTACTTAGCTTTTAGACAAATTACTTTTAGTTACAGAAAGCAATACTACTAGGCTGACAATAGAGAAGTAGGTTGACAAGGGTTTAAACTGAAAAACCAGTTAATGAATGTCAAGTGATTTGACCAGTAAGTCACCAGTATTCACCACACTGTGTTGCACCTATATTTCAGAAGCACAAAATTTATCAATAATTAAAACATTGTGACTTATCAGCATTTATTGTCAGCTTTAACGTTAAAGACTTAACAGGATAAGAAGAAAGAATAAATAGAAAGAAGGTTAAGAGTGATCAATCACTTGACATAGTGGATTTACGATTCTGTGACAGTATAAACAACGACAGTGTCCAGTTGTATTTATATTTACAACAAGATTATGATGCATGCCACATAACTTTGTCTAATTATGAATGAACATGTTAGCAATAATTACTGTTAACATCACATAAAGAGTTTATCTGCGGTAGTTATCTTATTTGTAAGCTTTAGAGTCTTCCCGTTGTTGATGTTAGGGATTGAATTTCGATCAGTCTCTTTTGGAACATGTGTTTTCTGAGCAGAATGCCACAGCATTACCATTGAGTCACAAGTATCTTAGGTAAAGATGGACATTGGCTAGCAGAGGAATTCAGAATGTGTGTTCCTTCATGATTGGGACTCGTCAGATAGGGGTACCTACAAGTGTGGTGGATTCTACTGACAAAATTGCTTGTAAGCAGCATGAGGCGAAACGTGGAGCTGAAGTTGTCACAGCCGTCAGACGAAAAGCAGAGTTTTGGTACATCGAAAGCACAGAGAAGGCAGGACAATTGATAACCATACAAGAAGATAGTTTAGAACTAACTAGATTGCAGAACACACAGTAAAATGTAAATGTATGATCGAAGGCTATGCATATGTATCATATAAAGGCCTTGTAATATCCCTCAACAAACAATCCTTTAGCGTATCGTCTTGTTTTACATCAGCACATCCTAGAGTTGATATTTATTCCAAGACTCGGATCCAGTAACCTTTCACTTTAAATGCCCAGCGTATTACCCACTGACCTACTGAGTCCAATTTCTACTTAGAAAGTAATTTCATCAAATTATTAATATCAATATTGAACTAACCATAATTTTCAATATCCTCAGGCATATCGTAGTTGATTACGTGATTAATTTCTGGAAAATCCAAACCTTTACTAGCCACATCTGTAGCAACTAAGACATCACGATGATGAGCTCTAAATTCCGTAACAGCTGATACACGTTCATCTTGATCTTTTCCACCATGAATACTAACTGCTTCAACACCTTTCAAAAGAAGATATTCATGTATAGCATCCACATCTTGTTTACGCTCAGCAAATATAATAACCTGTTTTAAATTTTAAAAAATTACTTGCCAAAATGTCTAAGTGAAATAAAATATTGAAATATATTTATGTATCAAAAACTAGCAATGAACTGTAAACATTAAGTAAGAATATTTCATTCACTAATTATATCAATCAGTATGTTGTAGGATGGGCTCCTAGTTGATTGAAAACAATGTTAGTCGAACTGTTTAATCACAAGTAAGCGAACTAAAGCAAGAAAAATTATGAATTATACTTAAAACTAATTAACCAAAACAAACAACAACATCTTTATAAATCAAAAGTTTGACGAGATTGCAAAATTTTCATAACTTTATGAACCAATAGAAGTAATTGACCACTAAAGAGTTGAGTTACATCTTATCCAAGAACATTTGGACATATTATATGCTTAGCCAAACTCTTTATGAGTTATACTCAAGACCTTTAGGTTTTATTGGCTTTCATATGCCACATTATTTAACGAATCTCGAAATGAATAGTAAAAATGGAGATGGGCTCAGTTTATGTATGACATGGCACTATGGTACGGAAGATATCTATAATAGATGTGCTCCCTGTCGGATTATCACGACTACCTGGTTGTGATTCTAAAATTCGTCCAACTCAATGACTTGAAGTACTCTACCAGACATAGCTCAAAATAGAAGCCAGCGGCGATTCAGCAGTAATTTTAAATTAAATGCTCCATTACAGTGAGACAAATAAATACTCAAATTGTACACTGTAAACAACTGACAAATTATGGGAAAATAATTCACATTGTACGGTCATATGCTTAACAATTAGGTGAAATGTTTATTTGCTAGATGGTAGGACTGACTATACATTTTATCTTAGTTATAAAAATTCCTAGCGTAATTTCGAACTAACAATAGATGAAGCGTAACAACCAGTACTTACTTATCTTTAACAGGTGGTTAGGGTTTGTTACTTTATTTTAGTTACGAATAGAATATATTTTTAAAGACAAACTTTAAACAAGGTAGGTAAATGTTTGTGCACACATACATGAGAACAAAAATAGCGACTCAGAATAAAGTGAACAGACCACCGTGGTCTGAAAGGTTACAAAGAATTATATCATATATCGAAACGAGGACAAGGATTAGTTTGCAGTTATGATAGTAGAAAAACGTTGATATAGAACACTTGAAAATGTGCCTTTTAAAGTTGACAAAACATATTTACTTATTCCTTACCTTATTTCCTATGTAAAGTTGAGTTTATTGCTTTAGCTTTGAGTATTTATACAGAAATTTAATAAATGTAATTTAAACGATAAACTTCTTTGGTAAATAAGGTAAAACTTAGAAATGCTAACCAGTAACATATATGCTGTTATATATATATATATCAAAGTAAGGGGAAAAAACTTACAGGAGGTGGAGTTTTCTGTAAAGCACTAAGTAAATGAGGAATTTTCGCTTCATGTTTTACATATTCCACTTCTTGAGTGACATTCATACTAGCCGCTCCAGCTCGGCCAACATTAACAGTGACAGGTTTTACCAAGGCTGATTTGGCGAAATTTTGTATTTTCTTTGGCATAGTAGCAGAGAACAAAAGTGTTTGACGTTGTCCCTGAACAATAGCATTAAATATAATGTGAGTACAAAACAACCAATTAATTATCAGAAGGGGTTTTGTGGTGATTTCAGTAATTCCATAGTTGAATTTATGGGTCAATCGAAGCTAGACAACCATGGAAAACCTGGAAGCATTGGACGGTCGTCTCGCCCTATTGTGGGACTCCACAGCAGTGCGAATCCACGATCACGCCTCTCAAGATTCGAACTCAGGACCTATCAGTTTCGCGCGTGAGCGCTTAACCTCTAGACCACTGAGCAGGCATCAAACGGTGTTAATGTCTAGCTTCAACCAATCCACGAAATTGAGCAACCGTCCACCACTGTTTTCAGTGAGTTACGACCTCACAACAGAACCGGTTGAACTCCACTGGTTACTGCTTCTCACTAGAACCCCAAGAAAATACCTCTTGAAACCAATTACTAGTGAGCATATGATTATTATCAGAATAATAATTGTTACATTGCATTTCAATCAAGAAAACATTATTGTGCAGAAAGTTTACGAGGATGTTTAAAATTTAATTTAAATTATTCCTTCAATAAAAAGAAACTATTATTATCCACTTAATCAGCCTACATGGCCTTATGCAGGTCGAAAGGACAAATGCATACATATAAAAGATTCCTAATTATTTTCCAGTCTTCTCGCTCACTCTACTAGTTGGCAAGCCCACAAAAAGCGTGTATATCTTAACTGGACGTTGTGAAACGTAACCAACTCTTGATTCAGCTAATTCCAATCTACATAATGTCTATTTAATAATAATAATAATAATAATAATAATAATAATAATAATAATAATAATAATAATGTTATATATGTATATATATATATATATATATATATATATATATATATATTGAATGAAAAAGAACGAAAATTTGATTTGTTACCTTAAAATAGGAAAATATAGTTCGAACTTCTTCTTCAAAACCCATATCAATCATTCTGTCAGCTTCATCCAAAACAAGATAACGACATACTTCTAAATTGATCATTTTACGTTGAAGTAAATCTATTAAACGACCTGGTGTAGCAACCAAAATATGAACACCAGACCTTTTAACAATATCTGCTTGTTCTTTAACAGCCATACCACCAATACATAAGCAACAACGAATAGATGGGAAACCAGCTTTGACCAAACCATCAATAAGGCTACAGATTACTTCATGTGTTTGTCGAGCTAATTCACGCTAGTATAAAAGAAATAGTATTATTTATTACTTACAAAAATTATTAACTAATAATTCCTTAGAGATTTAGTATAACAAAAAAGAAAGAACTATTTAGTACAATTTCAGTAGACAATAAAAATTCTTACGATCTCCATAAAACAAATTCAACTGAGAAGAGTGAGTAATTTTTGGCAGTATTAGGTTTAATTACACAATATAAAGTTCATAATCTTTGAGTAGTAATCGTAACAACTTACTAAAGTGGATAGTAAAATGCTGGTAACAACAATTGTGAGTTACCTATTTCTAAAATCACAATAGAGTTCTAAACTGTATGAACATTTAAAACAATTCTAAATGGTTCAAATGAATTTCGTACAAGTGAAACTAGATATCTATGAAGTAATACAGTTAGCTGAGTCTATAGTATTGATAAAAATGAAAAAAAAAGTTATTTACCACCTTTAAAATTCCAGATAAATTTACACTTTAATATACAAATATATACTCCACCTTTAAAAGCTTTCTTACATAGCTAATGATTACTAAACAGAAGTAGGTGCAAAATCTTCAGGTACATAGGTTTAATTGGTAGAAATTCGTAGATAGGAGTATAATACTTCCTCACACATAGCAACCTACGTAAGCAACCTTTCTAATAACTACCAAACAGCATAAAACCAACGTTCAGAATTCCTCTTCGACTGACTACAAACCTCTAATATCAAATAAAAGGCACACCCTACACATATAATAAATCAGTTGAGTTAGTAACAACACAATCTTGTTTAATTTTTATCCCGAAAATCCGCTTCTTCTTTTCAAATCATATTCTTTACAATCACAGACATCATCGCTTCGACTACATTTGCTGAGCAGCTCGCTAATTTCATTTAAATGTATGGATATGTGGCAAATTGAACTGACATACATCCGTAATAGCCCCTACGTTATTTTCATTAACTCTGGAAGTTTCGGAAGTCTTTAGAAGATAGACGTCAAAAAGCACATCGGATTTTTTACGATTTTGTTTAACACTACAATATTAATTTGTATGTAAAACATGCTCACTACGATTAGTATAGTCAATATTACCACAATTCAAGCAATATGCAACTGACCACTGTAAAACAAAGTCTTTAGTACTACTGTTAGAGTTGTCGTTGAGTTATCTGAACACGGAAAGTCCACCTAGGGGAGTTGGAAAACCCTTATTTTATTTTATTTAGACACATAAATATTGGTACAAGGAAGCACCAGGTAAATATGCACCTCACAAATCTCATTTGATTTGTGTGAGGGCTGTGATACTGCCCAGGTGCCCAGACTGAAGCAGGTGGTTTTCTTAGGGGGCCACGCCCCTGATTCCAAACCAATGGTGCACATGGGATCCAGTACCTCAAGGGAACAAATGGCGTATGAGTCAATCGTTGGTCACCGGCTACCATGGGACTGCATCTCCTTACGATGCTCAACAGCCTCGTAGATCAGATCTTTAGGTCAAAGGCTCCGGGTGTGGCCCCCTAAGAAAACCACCTGTTTTGGTCTGGGCACCCGGGCAGTATCATAGCCCTGACACAATTTAATAAAATGGCAATTTTTTGTGTGGCGCATATATATCAGATACCCCCTTGTACCAATATTTATATGTTCAAATAAATAATAAATAAATAATATCCGATCAAAGACTAATCCCTCTCCGGACTCGTAGTTACTTACTGACAACCCCCTTCCCAATGATTTAACAATAAACAACAAAACCCGCAAATCCACTACGGCAGATGACAGAAAGCATTATGGATTTAACGCATATTAGAAAATAATTTAGATGAATTTTCAAACACGAGCTACTGTTCGTCACATAATGTCACATCACAAATCAGCTATGTGAAAACCCCTAATGGAATTCCACATTGAGGGATAATGACCGAACTTAGATAATCATGATATCATCTGTAGAACAAAAGACGCTCACTGAAATGACCAGGGTAATATAAATGTACGAGTTGTATACCTTTGTCTCCAATTTAAGAAGACTAACATCGTGGACATTCGATCGATATTCTTACTCAAAGAAATTAAAAATTGAAATAATGCACAAACGCATAATATTACGCGATTATGTAACTAGCAAATTAACGAGGTAGACTAATATATTATAGGGCATATGTTTGCTAAAAAAACATTCAAAAACTGGTTACCTATTATTATCTACGTCTAAAAGAAAAAGTTAATGACAGACAAAATAATAGATAAAAACTACCTAATTGGAAACTCATAACCATATAATAAAACAAAAAAATGATATCAAACAGAAATTACTCTAACTTACAGATGGACCTAAAACTAAACCGTAAGGTCCTTCATTTTGAATAAATGGAATTTTCTGTTCTTGATCCATAGAAAATAATATAACTGGTATTGAGAACACCATTGTTTTTCCGGAGCCGGTGAATGCAATTCCGATCATATCTCGACCACTTAACACAGCTGGTAAACCTTGCATTTGAATCGGTGTAGGTTTTGTTATTCCTCGTAGTTTCAGTAAATCAATTAAAGCCTTTGGAAAACGCATTTCACTAAAATGTCGAATCGGAGGGGGTACATCATCACCTTCAGTTAAAATCCTAAAGTTTTTGCGGATTTCTTCAGATTTGTCTTCACTTTGTTCCTGGATATATACGGGTGGTACCCAGCTAATATAAAAATCAATATTGCTTTACTACTATACCTGGTTTGAATAGGTTTGTCATACTGAATGCCTTTTGCTAGTTCTGCGACACCTTTCAAAGCAGTCTTTTCAGCAACACTTTCTAAAATCTTAGCTTCTTCCTTTAACTTTTTATCCCGTTCTGTTTCCTTCCTTTCTAAATTCGGTCAACGAAAAACTCCAGACAAACATACCTTCAGCTTTTCGCTTTAATTCCCACATTCTATCAAATAAACTACCCTGGGCATTAGGTCCGTGATGTTTGTCATCAGACGACTTTTTTGTCACACCCTCCGAATCATCTTCAACTTGTTCTGCTGTATTACCCTGGTCTAGTTCCTCCTCAGGTACTTCAGTGTACGCAAGATTACCTAATACACGCTGAAGTGACGTAAGCTGAAGTGGGAGAAATCAAATATTTAGGACTAATGAAACTAATAGTACAGAAACTTTATTACTAATACAAAACCATGTTTATATGTTGGATATAGGCAAACAGTTCGCTTCAATAATTTAGAGACCAAGTTCTGAAGAACACTATTTTATGCAAAGGGTGATGATATTACCCATCTATTTTAAATTTAAATGGGTGGACTTGGACTCGAACCTGAGATCGAATTCTTGAAATCCAAATTCATTAGTCCTTAAACCACTGAGCTCGTCTAGTTAACACACAAAACGAGTTTCATCTTAATGAATGTATTAGCTGGACCTAAACACGTCCAACAGTGCATATATGGGTCATCAGTTTCAAAAAAGAAAGACCTGTGGGTGTTTAAACCACATTTTATTTTTATCAGTTTGGACAAGTCAGAAATATCTTCCTAGTTCTGATACAATAGAAGTGGTTCAAAATCAAAACAATAATTCATAATCAGTTGATAGGTTACCCAAGTTCCTCATTAATTTTCGAAAGGGTAAAGAAAGATCAAATCTTATTTGGGCACTACCAAACCAAGTACCAGAAAGCTGAAAAAGCGACCGAAGCGGCAGCCTGTTCAAACTTCAGACCCAATATTTCTCTAAATACGTGTTTATTGTTATAAATTTTCTTTGTTGAAAGCGTGAGTCAATTGAAGCTAGACCACCATGGAAAACCTGGAAACACTGGACGGCCGTTTCGTCCTATTATGGGACTCCACGTCTGTTGTGAGATAGGAACTCACTGAAGACAATTGGTGAATGGTTGCTCAACTTCGTGGATCAGTTGAAGTTAGACATTAACACCGTTGGATGCCAGCTCAGTGGTCTATCGGTTAAGGGCTTCGGCTCGAGACTGGTAGGTCCTGGGTTCGAATCTCGCTCGCGAGAGCAGGTTCGTGGATGCGCACTGCTGAGGAGTCCCATAATAGGACGAAACGGCCGTCCAGTGTTTCCAGGTTTTCCATGGTGGTCTAGCTTCAATTGACTCACGCTTTCAACAATGATAAATACTAAATCTCCACAAAACCCCTTCTATAATAAATTTTCTTGTTTTGGAATTTATTAAACTTACTTTGTCTGTTAAGCGCGTGTACTCACGTGCTTTCATGAAAAGTTTATAACCTGTCGCAAATCTAGTCAGTAACGAACTCAAGGAGTACCACCATGGTAGTTCGAATAATCCATTCCTGTTTTTTTTGGAGGAACGAGAGAGACCACTGCAGGATTCACACAACAAACCGATCTGGTGATGAGATATCATGAGTATAAGCCTGATCATAAAAATTTACGAATGACTATGAATGCCAGCTAGTCAGTTCGAAAACTTTTAAAACGAAATTATCTGGTATTGGATTGAACTGATATATGTATTTAAATGACCGAACTCCCACTCAACAAATATTTAATAACAAACGAATTTGTTTGGATTTCATCTACCCAATACCATTAGAAGTACATTCCTAACAGGTGAGGAACGAACTTAATCCCACCTATCTCAGTTTGAGAAGCCCTATAGAAAGTGGTGCTTATATTAAATGTATCTCAAAGTACATTGAATGAACCGATAGCTAATTACTGAGACAAAAACTAATTCATAATGATCTCTTTGTTAAAAAAAAATAAACGTAAGTACAGCAGACTGATATGATAATATTACAATGAGAAATATAGTCAAAACGGACACTTGACATGAACCATAAAAATAAGAGCCAACATACTTTGAGTTTGTATACGGAATCTGATATTGGCCAAAGTTTTACTTTTCATTTTAACAGAAACAGCCCACACTAAGTTTCACAAATATGGCCCCAGCTTAGTAGGAGAATATGACGTAGACAAAAAAAGTAAAATAATTTCCGAGAGGTAGTCAGAAATTAAGCATTAACCCTAAGACATTGTTAGTAACTCGTTCCATCTGATGTTTACATAACCAGTCGAGTTATCAGTGATTGATACACTCAACTTTTTTAAGGATTCACATTACGATCGAATGCATATTAACTATTTGGTGTTTTGTTAAATGTATTGAATGGTCAAAACTACTACTCCAACCACTAAGGAGATAGAATTGTATTACAACTGCACATGCACAGAATATTTCCGAGACTCTAGATCGATAAACTACTCACAAACAATTCTTGTTTTTAATGGCTTCTTACTTGAAAGTAAAGAACAATACTCAGAGTAATAAAAACAAAGACAGTTTGGATGAGAAACATTCCTAGGCCACGTATAAATCAAGAGTGAAACACTTATTTATGTTTAAAAATCTAATACTTTCTATGGTAATTCAAACATAAGAATATTCGCCTTTTCGTAGTCTCCTCAAACACTTAAAACTAAGCATTGTAATCAGATAAAACACCGAATGAAAGATGAAGCACATTACCTCCTGTTGTTTACGTTGCTTCACTGGTATATAAGGAACATAATCATCATCCGACAAGTCAGATAATTCGTCTGACTTGTCCAAATGTCGTGGCTGAAAATAAAAACAAAATTTTAGCACTTAATATACACAAAGAATTCGGCATATTTTGCTTCTACTCCCAATAAAAATACTTATTAAGTGAATTAGAAGTTGCTTATCAAACACAGTGAAGTTATTCACAGTCTATAAACAAAAGAACCAAACCTATAGACACAATATAAACCATAAAGTATAACTGTAATTCAGAGTCATGTTTTGTTGCTAATATAGTATTAGAATAAATAGAAATAAATTCGGACCTAAAATGTTATAGGTGAAAGTCAAATGTGTAAACCTCAAACCACAACTTTGATTCCAGAACACAAGTGATTACTAACTTGGACTCAATAAGGCTTAATAACATTCAAACCTAAACAAAGTAATATTGAGTCTCTAGGATGCTTATGGTAGATTTATATCTCCATGGCCCTCATTCATAGGACTCCATGCCACTTCGATTGATGTAATTTTCAACTTAATTTAATATAGCTTGGTAACTAAGAGTAGTTTTGTACGTCCGACTTTGAGCAACACTTTTTAGCGTGAGACAGAATGATTTTACCCAAGCTTTTCAAGCCAGTGTAAGCAGACGGTGTCTGGACCTACAACTCGAATGCTGGAGGTTGAGTGATTTAACAATTAAAGTACTACTATATTCTGATAACCCCATAGCACCACTGTAAGTTACAAAAAGCCCCGTATAACAGCATTTAATTAGCCAACGAGTTAAAATTAAATCTTAAAGTATGAACCACATGGAATTCTCACACTATTTAGATGAGGTTAAAAGAATATCAAGGTGAAGGAGGGAGTCCGTCATTAACGAGATGATCTCTAGTGCCAATAGAAGTATGAGGCCGGTTGTCACTTCCCTGTTTGCCACACTACAAAAGATGGGCAGAATACTTCAAGGAACTGCTGAATAGGTCAGCTCCATTGGATCCACCGGACATCGAAGCAGCACATACAGACCTTTCTATATCTGTCACTCCACCAACTATCGAAGAAATTAATCGTGACCATCAGACAAATGAAGAGCGGGAAAGCGGCAAGACCTGACAGTATACCAGCTGAAGCACTGAAGTAACAGCAAACATGCTTCACCTTCTATTCAAGAAGATATGAGAGGAGGAACAAGTTTCACTGACAGACTGAAAAGAATAACACCTCATCAAGATATCAAAGAAAAGAGATCTGAGCAGGTGTGATAATTACAGAGGCATAAGTTTGCTGTTAGTACTAAAAAAAGTTTTCAAGTGTTGCTGAACCGAATGAAAGACGCAGTAGACGCCCACAAGGGATAACAGGCGTAAGTAAGTGAGTAACAGTAATGGAATGATCTGCTTTAGGCACAAGCTGTAAGTCACGTTTGTTGAGTGAAATTTATTGATACTGTTTTTTCCAAAAGGTTATTAGAGGATAAGAGATCGGCAACTCAGTGATTGCATCAAGCGATTGAGAAAAAGTAGCCCTACAGTTAACAACTGTAAGAAAATAAAAGATACTGACATTCATGTCCTTACGTTTTTGTTATTTGACTTCTAACCGACTAAAGTAGAGCCTCAGTCGCTAAGACCTAGTAGTAATCAATACAGCTTAGCTAATAAGACACGCCTTCCTTGCAATCAAACTTCCCGTTATGGTGGGACTTCTAGGGATGTTTTACTCATATAACTTGATAAAAGTACGATAAGCGAGGCCAAAGATCACATACCAACAGTCAATTATCTTTGATTAAAAGTGTTTTTGCATTTTCGAGAATTATAATGGATAATATCAAAGGTTTCACTAAAGTAGTTAGATGAGATGTCAATGGAAACGACATTATGCACGGCTGCAAGTCAGATTACGTTTGCAAAAGTTTGTGAAGGGAAAATGACCAACATAAAAGATGTCGTCTCAGGCATAGAGACACTCTCCTCTGCGTCTTCAAAAGTCGCTCTGACGATCTTAATGATAATATCACGCAATAATTAATCACTACATGACTAACATGCCCAACTTGTTAGTCCGGTTAGAGTACTTTCATAGCTTTTTGGAAGTACTCGGAAATTTAATTCCATAGTAAACAAGCCGATAAGCAATCTCTATGGACGACTAAACCTGATAATACAGAAATTATGACAGTGATTAGACCAATACTCTGACAAAATGCATTAAATGTATCTAGAGACAATGGAAACAAATTCATCATAATAAGTAGTTGTAATGATAAACTAGTAATCCAAACGTGTTTCTAAACATGATCTACCCATGACTGGTAGCGAAGTATGAATTGACTAGACCATAGACACCATATTTCCCAATAATTATTTACATACCTTATCATACGATAGGCTCAAACCCTAATAGGGATACTATGGTAACTGAGTAAGTGACACGAATAGGATTTCGACAAATATTTATGGTTATATTCGTGTTTTTGATTAAGAACGATTAAAGTGCTGAAATATTAACACATTCATATGCGCGTTTTCGTCCACTTTAGATGGGACAAAAATTTAGTGATAGTACTAGCTATTTTAAATTCAGTCGACCAGATTCCCTAACGTTAGCTCGTACGCAAACTGAAATGAAGCCGTTAACGCTAGGATAGATATTAACTTACAGAGAAAAATTTTTTAGTTAGAAGTCCCAAGCTTTGCTTGGCCATATAAAAGCTTTTATTCACTATGTTCGGACTGTCCCCAGAGTGTAGAGACTTCCTATCGTGACAAAAACCAACTATCTTCAAGCTGCATGACTAATACAAGCCAATGTGACGTAATTAACTTGAGCATAACCTACAAATTAAACACCGTTCATCCTAAGGGTGGACTTTTAGTTGTGCTAGAATTCATCTTATTTTGAAGTTTAGTAGCCAATTAGGGTGTATTAGTACATTTGATGTCGGCTATGAACATCCGATCACATAGTGCCTCAGATTTAGGTATTGACCTATGAGATCTGAGCAAAAGAATCAGCCTTGCCATTTTATTTACTAACGTTTTAATACACATATTAGATGTAACCTCATGGAGAGTTCTTTAAATGAACACACATCTGAACGAAATTTTGTATTTAGGTGATACTCGCATATGTACGTGCACAAGTGGTTAAAATTTTGAGCAAATATAGTATATTGGTAAAAGCTCATTATTTCAATAATTTGACTGAGAATATTTGAGATTTTGATCACACAACTGAGTCCACTGTCATCAAGAAATAGATTTAGTTATTTATCATGACTGACAAATTGTGACATTATTCAAACAATCGAAAAACTAGCTATTCAGAGGGAATTACCTGCATTAAAATAGTTGGAAATCCAAGAGGTAGAGGGAACCTTGACAAAATCCCGCCCTACGTCTTTATATTTGCCTTTAGTGGGTTTGTGCGTTACTGTTAGGCAGCTTGTAGTGACATTTACATTCAATGATTTTTGTTACGACAAGATTACTATCACACTTTTTTCGTCATTTATGACACTTTGTATTTAGTAACATTTACATTCCATAACTGTTGTTTCTCTGTATCATTTGTAGAAGGGGTATAATTCGGCTGGCTGAATAAAACTCACGCTACCGTTGTTCTTCATAAAAAACTCTATTTCTGCCATCCATTCTTCTGCTTTATCGGCCAAAGTCTGTGATTGAGGATTATAATTATATTACAACATCCTTTTGGGCCATTTCCCACTATGTTGAAATTTTGACCCGAATTACTACTGAATAACACTATCGGATTTATCTTTCCCATCATGCTGTCGGTGCCACCACATGCAAAGGAACCTTCTTAATCAAGTGAACTTATTTATGATTGTTACCTTAGGAGGCACTTACAAACAATATTCATTTCAAAAGTTACCGTTTTACTATATAGTATACCATTTTGTAGTAAACGCTATTTTTTATCGTTTCACTTTACTCATAGTCAGACAATTCCGTTTGGAGTGTAGCTGTAAATAATTCCCCAAAATCAATAGCTCATTAAGTGTTCGACATTGGATGCTGACCACGTTGTTTAAGTGGACTTGTTTAGCTGAAGGCTTTCTGTCATGCATCTGCACCAGATCACGTTTCAACTGGGCATGGGACACTGCTCCTACGTTCATTAGCCAGCTTATAGTAAAGGTTCCTCGATATATTGGTAACGTATCAAATATATCTTTCCTACCTCTCCTCATCTGACTTCTGGTTTCTATTCCACTGGGAACGAACGATTATAGAAGATACTACTGGTTGCTAGTTGCAAAACTAGAATATCCGTTGTATCATCAGGAGAGTTAACATTTTTCGGTGCGTTACTGACAAGTTTTTCTAATAGGATCCACCACATTCCAGATCAGTTTGGAATGAACAGAAATCTGAGTGGCTCGCGTTAGTCATGATAATCATGATCTCTCAGTTTACCCAACTCTCTTTTGAATGCGCCAACAGATGGAGCTTTAACCACATGTCGCGGTGACGAGTTTTACTTGGCGATTTTGTGGGAAAGTTTATAGTCAGGTAACAAATAATTTGTTCTGGGCTTGTGAATGTTTTGAAAGACAGGAAAAATGAGTGTATATCAGGTGCAAATTTATCATTAAGTGATTTAAAGACTGTGATCAATTAACCCCTGGTTCACTTATATTACGAGGGAAATAGATTTAGTTCTGCTAGTCTATAGTCACACGGGGGCTTTGAATTCCGTAAATCGGTTTACTTGCGGTTCTGCGAACGTTTTCCAACAGCTCATTGTCTCTTTTTAAGCAGGGTCTAGCCAAATGTATGCAGTTCTTGAGTTTAGGGCGGACGAATACTATATACAGATTCAAAATGTTTTCGCATCAATATGGCTGAAGGCCCTACGTATTGACCATAGGGCCTTAAAACCTTTGGTAGCTTTCTCACAACATTACAGTGCTTTTCAATTCTTCGCTTGCAATGAATCCTAGGTCAACGCTTGTCCGGAAAACAGGTAGCTCAGTGTCACTCACTGTGTATGTTGCTGTACCTTTGTAACCAGTACCCGTCATAATACACTTGGAAGCGCTTACCAGCAACTGCTGAATTCCAGACCATTCAGACAAAGCTGTAGGTCATTTTTAAGCTCCAAACTTTCATCATTTTTATCTCTCTTCATAACTTGGCATTGTCAGCAGATGACCAAACAGGTGATGATAAGTGATCAGGATGGTCATTTACATACAGTGGGAACAACACTGACCGTAAATCGCCCCCTAAGGCACTCCGCTTAGCACAGTTTCCCAAATAGATAATTTGGAATCAATTTCATTTCTTAGTTGACACCCAACAAGGGAATCGTTCATCCACATAAATTAGTAGCCTCCAGCGCCGTGTGTGTGTGAGCGCCGATAGCCCCCAGCTTATATAACAGCCGGTCGAGCGGGGCTTTGTCAAACACTTTACGGAAGTCAATGAAAGCCACATCTGTAGGTAACTTTTGATCTTTCAGGGCAAACCAACTTTCACGGGATACTAATAAGTTTGTGAAGAGCGAATAACCTGTGCATAAAGCCATGATACTTTTTCAGAGGGAATACGATTTTCATCTAGATGCTTAAACAACTTCCGAATAATCTTTTCTAAAATCTTGTCAGTCACATTGGTCAGGCTGATGGGTTGATATTTTTCAAGTTTGTGTTTTGTACCTGTGTTGGACATAGGGCTTACAATGACGTTCATCCAGTCCTACAGATTTACAAGATTTCAGGCTTCCCGATTGTGAAAGTATGGCTCATCAGTAACCTAAGCCTTCCTTAAATTCCCTTTTTCTTACAGAAAAGAGTGAGAACCTCTTTACTGATGGTAATCACCCTTCGTATTATGGAATGTTTCGACATCCCAAAGATGTTTTTTGACCACCTATTAACCACCTAGCTTAAGTCGTTACACCTCCTCACTGAACCACAGTGACAAGTTTCCAGATGCCTTCGTGTAGTCCAAGGGATATGAGGTGCAGTAACTTGCATACATAAATTTCCGAACACTTCCTAGGCTGTTTCAGTGAGATATCCTCTTGTCCAGTCTTTTGAGGGTTCTGGGTGCATGATTTCCTGTATATTAGCTTTTCAAACGTTTGTTATCACTTAAGGTTATCCATATTTGTTAACAAAAATACAAAAATTAAGGACTGGAACTTCATGGTCACTCTTACCAAAGAGCAGCATAAATAAAGGTTTGTGATGTCCTTTCCATAGTGGTCCAATATAATATCTAATAAAGATGACTCCGAGCACACGTCGTATCTAGTTGCTTATTTCACATCGGGCACAAGGACGAATACGATAACCACGTCATGGTTTCAATGGAAGTCTCTTAAGATTGGGCATCCATCACTTTAAGACCAGTCACAGTTATCAATTTTTAACTTCTGTTGCCAGATCGGCTCGCGTTAATGGCTGAATATGGATAATTGATGCCCATTGATCTTAATATTGGATCTAATCACATTTCACTCTTCTAAAAGGTCGTTGGAGTGCAGTTTCTCTATTTTCTTAACCCTTTAAGATTTGATTGATCTATTTAATATTCCCCATTTTGTGTTTGACTTGTCAGCAATCTGACCGATCCAGAACTTTGCGCTAATTCCCTAAACTTCTAAAGCATGGCATGGTCATTGGTTTTACTGAACGCACTCTAGCTGGAGGCGCTTAGTCAAGCAACCTCAGTAGATCAAGATTAGATACGCTGTGCTACATATCCATCCTAGAAGCTAGACAGCTTAGATAATGTATTCCTTGACACACCAACTATCTCCCAAATATATCTCTGAAATCCATCATTCGTGACTGCTGGTTCGACTTGCTTTTGAATCCTTTGTTGAATAGATGTCGAGGATCATTATATGAGTCTCTCTAGTTCGGTATGCTTATCTGATCCGTCCAAAATACGCATCCTGTATTTCAGATTCCGTCTTCGTCCCACTAGAAACCGTTAGAGAAACTGTATTCTCGTTCCGTAGCGATGCGAAGTTACACTGAATAGTTTCATTCAACGTACAAACTGATGCTAAGGGATTATGATTTATCAGATTCTTCTTAGTTTCGGTCTGGAAATAATACAGTGTGGACTAACACGTGTTGGCCTGCCGTAATACGTTTCTCACCTAATCCTAGTTTACTTCAGACATGCTGGCAACATCGGCTGCAACCACATGTTCAGCCAGTGTTTTATTTGCTTGTGATTCGATAAAGAAGTCGGTATTAATTATCCCGCAAAATTTTCAGTAAAACAGTTTAAGACACAGCGTTAAGTGTTTTTGTTCGATCTGTTAGTCCTTGTTTGTGAAAATCCCGTCATGTATAAGTTTCAGGCAACAACAACTCTGACTCTTACTTTCACCAGTAAAGTCTTTATTTTCGGTAGTTTCATTTGTATGTGGTGTTATATAATGGCTACTGTGAAAATGTTAGTCTGTTTTACTTGCCACTAAGTTTTCTTAGTGGGTCAACCTTTTTACAGATTTCTTATGAAATGTTTTAATCTTGTTTTAATTGGCCTTTATATTTGGCAGCCTCTGTATTGCTCCTATCAGTGTGAATTTTCATTAGTTCATATACTTGGGCTGGAATACTGTTAAATGGCAAAAAAAATGTTCTTAGGCCATTTGGAGTGCCCTATTTTTACTTTGACTTGCAACTAATTTATGTTCTTTGAAGGTTTAATTACTCTGGGCATTTTCGAATTTTATTGAATAAATCTGCTAGCTGGACAGCCTAATAGTTCTGTCCATGCAAAGATTCATGTATTATTTGTAATACAAGTCCTTATTATTCGAACCGTAGCCCTTGGTGATTGGAACATCGATATTCCTGTTGAGTATTAAATACATTGTAGTTGACCGACATCAGCAACCGAAAATTATAGATGGATAGTGGAGCTCACTCACTGATACAACAGTGCTGGCATGATATTAATCATAACTGTCCGAGCAACAACAAATATCTTCACACTTTCCTTGGATATTCCCGCTGACTCCAGGTTACAACCACGGACTACTGATCCTACACGATAAGAACATGAAACAGGTCACCATAGGATGATCCAAACGCCAGGAAATGGACTGTTGGTACGACCGAACAAGATAAATGGTTCAGAATCTCATCCCTATTGGCACGAAATCTTATGTGGAAGTCACGTCATAGTCTTCACTCACTAATAATTTCGTGAAAATCAGTAACATGATGTCCAATGTTTCTGAAGAACACACTTGGGCTATGAAGAGATTAATGTGTCCGATACAACAAGCAAGAGGTTACATGGAGTGACTACGCCCTTGTAGTTGACGTCCAGTCGCGATCGACTATGATTACCACTACAGGAAGAATACATGACAGATATCGAGTTGGATCTCTCCGTAAGCCAAAAACCAGAAGGCAGT